TTACTCTAAATTGTAGAAGAAATTAGTGAAATACTATTTAAAGTGTTGCCAGCTTGTTACTCATTCAAGATGATTGATATGCTGGAAATGAAATGAGGTGATGCAATAAGACAATATGCAAGCATATCCATACAAAAATTACAAAGAAATTTCCTAGACACTATAATACCTATAATTAGTTAGAGGAACAAAGTCAGCAAGCTTCCCACATCCTGAATCATCCTCGAGACTCTGTGTGTCAAGTGCAGCCCTCCATACGTTTCCATCATGCCACACAACAGCATCTATAACAGGTCCTTTGTCATCATAGCTCTACAAGATATAAGCATGACACATTTTCAAAGGTCAAACAACATTTGTTAAAGAGAGTAGACAGAATTGACAACGCGAAATTTACGTCAGCCTGCTTGCGAAGAAGATCAACTCTATTCTGGAGATCTTCCCGTTTCTTTTTCAAGTTTGTGTCATCAACCTTTGCATGTTTCTGCAAGTCAAAAGATGCATAATGGACAGGAAAAGGATTAAAAATCTTAGAGATCATTTGGATGGGAAAAAAAATGAAACGATAATGCATAAAAGTAGATGTTATCATTTTACCAATTTATCGATAAACTATATCTTGACATCCACTCTATCACTAATTTCCTCCCACAAGAACCCAGAAGATAATGATAGGCCAAGACATAATTAACACTGAATAACAATAAACAAAAAATGCAGAAAAGTTCACAAATGCTATACTAGAAAGTCTTAAAAAAAAAAAAGAAAAAAAAAGGAATATCAGGATTTTGCTAATTTACATTCTCAAAGTATAATTTGGCAACAGTAACCTATTACTTTAACTTGGCATATGATCTTTCAAACAATAATTAACAGGATGACCAGATTATTTACAACCTTGTCAAAATCATCGAGCTGCTTTACCGCCTCAGCAATTGCTTCCTGATTTTTCTCATCCCATTTCTTCTTCCTCTCTTTCTGTTTACAAACAGAAATCATAACGTAAGGGATGTAATAAGTAAAAAAATTGATGGGATAAAGGGATATAACAAATCAACCTCCTGCGTAGCATACTATGAAAAGTAATATAAGATGTAAATAATAACAGTTACCTTCAACCGATCTGTCAATGTATCCGTGAAAAGCTCATAGACCAATTTATAGCCAACATGCCACTCTCCAGAAGGATTTTTCCATGATGAATTTACAACCAAGGAATTCCCTGATATTTGTCACATTCACACAAACAAAATGTATGATCAAGTAGTTTGCCAAAAACAAGTTCATAGGAGAAGAAAAAAAGCCCAACTTATGCATAAATGATGGTACATGGAAATCAAGAATACACACCAGAGGTCCCACGAATGCACCCATTGTCATCTGCCTTCACGATAGTTGACGTATCAATATCTCCACTCCCAGTACTGTGAAAGATGTGAAAGATCCAGTTATCAGATAAAAAGTTCAACGTTTCACATGAAAACATAAACCAGATAAAATCATGCAAAACCAAGCAAAATAAACTGAGCTAAAAATCAACCATCCACCCACAAGCACTCACATACAGAATAATTATCATCACAAGCCTCAACAGAATCTACAAAAGCCACCAGAAACACTTGCATGCACGAGTTATAAAAGAATATACAACAAAATCCACAGAGGACAATTTCCCCATATCTATTCTACTTAGAGACTGAGCTTTTATCAAATCGTCACAAGTTTGCATTCACATACCAATCAATAACATCTAAAATCTTTGGCTTCCCATCCGAAGTCACTTCCAGTCCAGCAGCCGCCGGGTCCACACCAGAATCTAACACCACCAGCAAAGAAGAATAACAACAACAACAACAACAACAACAACAACAACAACAACAGCAACAACAACAATCAAAACACGCCGTTCGCAGTAATTAGCCAAATCAAAAATGACGGAGCTAAAAAACAGACCGAAAATGGCAATAACCACGCCGCGACCGTCGTACTCGGGGTACACCTCCACGAATCGGTCGGCGGCGATTTCCTTCTTCGGCATGAGCGAGGCCAGGAACGTCGACTCGTTCAGCTTGAAATTGCGCAGCGCACCATTCTCGCCGCCAGAAGGCATCGCCCCAATCCTGAAACCGCTACCGGCAGAACCACGTCCGAGCTCGGAGAGTGTACCAGCGTACTTTCCCTCTCTAAATCTAGCTACCAGTGGGGTTTTGACCGCGGCGGTGACGATGGGTAGAGAGAGAAGCGGCGGGGTACAAGAGTGTGATTGGAAATTGATGACGTTATAATTAGCGTCACAAATAAATAGTGGGCATCGCATTATTGCTAATCTAGCGATTTGGGATAATTAATATGTGGTTTATGAAGGGTATATTAGGTAATTTGGCCACGTGTCGTGTTTCCCGGTGAGGTGGCGAGCGGAGAGAGTAGTGGAAGAGGTACTCTGATTTTTTTTGGAAATCTATAAACCAATCACTCCCTTATTGGCTATAGCCTATAGTTATGAATAAAAAAATATCAAATTTATTCAGAAAATAGGTCATGAATAAACGGTGATATCATACTCGACTCGAGCCAATTAGCGAATTCTTGAAAATTTATAAAATTACGTAAAAATCATATTAATCAAGCATAGTAAACTTTAATAAATGGAGCCGAGACATTAGTTGATTAACAAAACGAACACTTAAATGAGTTGAGCTAAATTTGAACTTTAACTAATCGATAGTCTATAATGAATCGAGCCGAACTCGTCTCATTAAATAAATGAGTCAGAAATCGAACTGGCTCGCTAAGACTTTGAGCTCGTGCCTTAACGAGTCGAATTATAAAAAATTATATTAAAATTTTCTTATGAGCTAATCAGAGCTCGACTCGTTAACCAAACGGGTTTTAAATGAGCTCGAGCTAGACTCATTAAAGTCTCGAACTCGATCCTTGACGAGTCAAGCCAGCCTAATTTAATTTAACAACACTACTGATCGATCAATTGTGTTCAACCGACGGTTGGTTCGTTAACAAATCTACTCAAAGGAATGTGAAGTTGAGCATGAAAAAGTTGCAAGAAGGAAAATGCACAATATGTCATACATAAATGGAATTTTCAATAAATTTCAAATCGAAGATATGGCCCAAAAGATTTTCTACTTTTCTTCGGTTCGAATTCGTGT